CTTTATTAGAAGTAAAAGTCCGATACTTTTCATATCAATTTCGACGTTTATGGGATTTATCCACTCCTCAAACAGAAAAGCGTCAAAGTAAATTGGACTAAATACTCAGAACAACTAGTGAATGCTCCCTGTAGTAACAGTTACAATCATTCTCCTGATATTGAAAGTCAAATTTATCTCCTTACTTATGAAATGCAGAATGCTATCAAAAATTCTTCCTATGCATTTAATACGTATGTCACCCGGTCTACTAGAGTTAAAGAGATAATTAAAAAAAGAAATAGGAAAAACAAGCAATTACATACAAATTACCCTAATCCTTTAAATAAACGGCATGTGAATTATCTTAACAGAAGAATCTCTAGCGAAATTCAAAATTATTGTTCTGAAAATGGGATTCTCTGCTAGAAAATTTAGAAGTACAACCAGGGACAGTTTGGAGGATAGCGCGTTCACGTTGAAGTGAACTGATCAATAGTTTAACACCTAATTCATCACATGGGTCAAACCCACCAATCAGAAAGTGAAATTCTTAATGCAATGTCAGAGCTTGCTAATGTAGTCAAATCACACACCCCTCATAACTCTGAAGATGAAGAGGAAATGAAGAACTCAGTTTCGTTTATTAAATATAGACCTACTACTAATTTTATCCCATCTACTTCTCCAAGAAAAGTAAAACAGATTATCAAAAAGCTAAAACAAGAATAGCCAAAGGTTTCGATGACATCAATAATGAAGCGCTTAAAAGCCTCACCACGAAGATGTGTAATCTTATTGACAAATATTTTTAATGCGTGTATTGGGCTCAGTTACTTCCCGTAACAGTGGAAGCATTCTGTCATTATTACGCTTCTTAAGCCAAGAAAAACCCTCAGAAATACAATTAGCTATAGACCACTAAGTTTTCTGTCTGCCATAGACAAAGTGTTTGAAAGAGTATTGAAAAAGCGTCTCGCAGATCATCTGGAACGTCTTAACTTGATCGACAGTGCCTAGTTCGGATTCAGAAGTCACAGTACAACACATCAAATTTAAAAGTTAATAGAATATGTTGCTGATAATTTTAAGAAAAAGAGAGGAATTGCTGCGTGCTTCCTTGACTTCGAAAAAGCTTTCGGTCGAGTGTGACACGCAGGGCTCATACTTAAGTTCAAGAATTTTCTGCTACCCAACCAGTTCTATTCAGTTAATGATGTCCTATTTAAAAAGAAGGACTTGAAGTCCGATGCAGTGATTCTCTTTCTGCAGAGAAAATAATTTGCAGTGCTGTTCCACAAGGCTCGGTCTTTAGGATAGAGTCTTTTCAACATTTACATAAATGATCTACCAAATAGACTTGAATCTAAGATACTGAAATATGCAGATGAGACGGTGATACTCACAAGTTCATTTAACCTCCAAATTGCAATCAATAACCTAGTTTAAAGTTAATATCATAACCAAGAGGTGTGCGGATTGGAAAATTAAGCTAAAGTAAATGCTGTATTATGCTTTTTCGCAGATACAGAAGAGGTTTTAATGTTCAAATAGAATTTAAAATTTGAGACAACATTATTCCTATCACAGACTTTTGCAAGTATTTAGGTGTAACAGTGAACAAAACTCGTTCATTCTAATATCACGGCAGAGAAATATTAAATAAAGCCATTGCAGCCCTCATGGCTCTTTATTGCATCTCAGGACGGAAATCAAAGCTAAATATAAAAATCAAAAGGACATTGTATATTACTTTAATTCGATCGATCCTTTTTTGTATGCGTCTCGCATTGGGCGGCAAACAATAAAACTGAAAGAGCAAAAATAGATGTTTTTCAAAATAAAATTCTCTGTTCCATAGTGATAGCCATGGTACATGAAAAATTCACAAATTCACAGTGATCTTCAAGTTGAAACAATGCACGAGCAAATCTTAATCACCGCGCATAACATTTTTGAAAATCTCGCCTAAAAGTGCAATTCAGGAGCTCATGAATTATGATCCAAGCATACAAAATGTAGCCAAACTTCCTAGAACGATTCAGCACAATGTTTCCTGGAGGAATGCAAATATGTAAATAGTCAAGTTTTGTGCAGCTTCTGAACTTTGATTCTCTGGCAGAGCAGGATATGGACTTTGCATACTTTTACTATAGTTTTATCTTATTTACTACTCCTTTAATTACCTACTGAGTTTTTGAAAGATTTTGTGTTTTTTATTAAAGAAATTAGCAAAGTATTGTGAATTAACATAACTGCAAGAATGTGAAGGCTTCTCATTCTTCAAGAAAAATCACATGTTCTTCATAAATTAACTCAACTGACTAGAACAATTAATTTTGTAAATAGAATACTTATTATTAGTCGTAAATTTTATTAATTTTGCTGGACTTTGTGTTCTTGTCAGTATTTGTAAATATTAAGTTAAATTGAAATTTAGGCAAATTTACAGATGAAGATGCCTGTTTACTCGCCAATAGTCACGTGACCCCGAAGTGCTCTCTAAACTTAAAATATCTAATACTAGAAGAGTATTTATGTATTGTTCATAAGACTGAAAAATTTATACTGGAAATTAGAGCGATAAATACGACCTAGAAAAAGGATATGCCATATAAGACATTGCTACGCACGAACTCTGAAATTGCATGATTTTGGCACCTTCTGTTTCACATCTCCGGACGATACACATAAAAAAGTACTCTTTTTCTAATCAACGCAAACGACCTAGGCAAAATTAAAATCGATTGGTTAAAGCTGCGTGTGAGCTGAGACCTAAATGCAAAATAAAGATCCAAACAGCATACGTTTAGAATTCCAGATACAGCGTTAATTGTTGGCATAAATTTTTTTAAACCTTTTCTCAGCTTAATATATTTATGTTCAGTGTTCTTATTAAGATGTTTTTATATTTTCTTTTATTTTTATTATTGAAGTTTTGTGTGTTTACTTCACTTATTGAATACTAAGTTCTTGGCCCTTACGCCACATGAAATTCGATTCAAAGCAAAAAAACTTCCAATACGCTCGCGCGCTGGAGATTAAAATGTTTTATTCCGTGCAGTGTTGCCACTGCTCTCTTTGAAATCTTTGACTTTTTTAATCAAAAATTCATTAAAGGTTTACAAAATATGAAATAATAATAAAACAAATTCAAAATTTGGGTTTCCAATTGCCCATGTTCTGGTGGTATGTTCTGGTGGATGAATACTAAGTTCTTGGCCCTTACGCCACATGAAATTCGATTCAAAGCAAAAAAACTTCCAATACGCTCGCGCGCTGGAGATTAAAATGTTTTATTCCGTGCAGTGTTGCCACTGCTCTCTTTGAAATCTTTGACTTTTTTAATCAAAAATTCATTAAAGGTTTACAAAATATGAAATAATAATAAAACAAATTCAAAATTTGGGTTTCCAATTGCCCATGTTCTGGTGGAAGGCTACGTTATTCAAAATTTGGTGGCTTAATTACCGTTGTTTTTGCACAGTGCGAGAAAAATGTTTACGTCCATGCAGATTCTTCATTATTTAATTTCTTTAAATATAATAACAGGACGATAATATTTGGTGACAACAGTTTGAAATGTGATATGCCGTTTATAGTGAGTCAATGCAAAATCCCATTTCGAGACTAATATCCCATTTAGGATTAGCGTCTATTCTGGGCTAATACGTAAATATAGAAGAATTTCTGTCCTGCACAAAATTGTAATTTTATCAAATTATAATTTTTTTTTCCTGGTACGAAGTTTATTATTTCTGTATGAACTCTCTCTCTCTCTCTTTCTATATATATATATGCTATAATACTATTTTCATAAAAACAATATACTAAAGCTAACATGATTATAAATTAAACAGAAATTAGTATTTTATTCATTTCATTTCCGAATTATATCTGAGAACTGAAATGTCGCTTCCCAAATTAACGAGAAATGAACTGCCACGCTCTCTGGAGAAATTTTTGGGTAAGGCAAGGGATGAGAAACTGTCGATTTTCATCAGCTGAGATGCTTTCGGTCGGAACTGTGATGGATCAGAGACAAATAGTCTATATATGCTTTGCATTGATTAAATAATCCAATCCGGCAATCATATATTTTTCTCATTATAAGAAAATAATTTCATTAAATAAAACAATTTAAATAATTTCTTAATACTATATTTAATTCATGATTATATTTTAACTAATTCATGATTAATTTTTCGTGGACTAAAATATTCAGTTTTATTAAATCGCAATTCAGAACTCTTACTTTTCTAAGAAATTTATTTTTTACTATTTTTGATATTTTTAAAATTTTTGATATTTAATATATTGAAATTTATTTTTTAAAAGTTAATACCATTGATTTAACAACTTAAGTTTATTTTCAGTACTGGCTTTAAAAGTCATGTCACTGTACTTCGTTTATTCTATATCAAAACCACTGCACTTAATTCTTTGCTTAAGAGAAACTACGGTAAGGCACTGATAAGGTATCAGATTCTTTAAGAATATTTACCTATGTTAATGCGAATTTATGCTTCGTGCAAACATACCCCCCCCTTCATTTAAGCAACTTGCAAAGTACTGTTGCTTCATAATAAAATAATTATAAAATATTTTCGACGATATTTGCCAATACAGGGGGAGATAAGAACTTTATTAAAACCTTAATATTGCACAAAATTATATACTTTAGCTTTATAAAGTTTGATGCATATTGGCCAAAACTGTTACTTAAAAAAATATTTGCAACATCAGATAAATGAAAAAGCTAATGACTTTTATAATTTCGATTTTAGAACGACACTATCAAATCCAATATCTCAGCTGCAAAATACTGGAAAATTCAGTGGTAAAATTTACGACTTTATTTTAATTAAATTCTCAACACTGAACAGAGTAATTCATTTTTGCTACTTAAAACACAAGAAAATGTTGCATACTTCGAAAAAATAAAACCAATATTTCTCTACAGTTTTCAAGTTTACGATGTTGCCTAGCCCATAAAATTTAGAACGATAATGGAAACTTACCGCTGGTTATCTGGTTTCGGATCGGGTTGTAAAAATCCTTCCTCTTTAATCATAGTTTGAGGGGGATTTTGTTGTAAATCATCCTGGACATAATATCTTTGTCCCGAGATATCAAATGTCCTGACAGCTTGACCTGGAATTGGTGGACGGTGGCTAACGTCAGGAAACACTGTGGCCCATGTCACTTGATAGAAAAAATGAAGAATCACTGCCAATATAAACGGTGAAGACATCGCTGTCTTCAACGCTGAGTTCTTTACCTTAACAGATGGCTACAATAAAGGATTTTTCCCATAGAGATTATATATATACTCTTAGAGTGACGCTAGGAAATTTCAAGGATTGGCGCTGGGTCTTGATAATGATTTATTTGGCAGTCCCTTGTTCTGTGATCATATACTGTGAAGGGAACTGTTTTGGTTTAGGGTTACCAGAACGAGAAGCTCGACGTGATCGCCAAATTGGAGGAGATATTCACCTGAATTTGAAAAATGTGGTCGTTTCGCTCAAAGGAACCTCACAGATGCCCGATCATGTAAAAAGGTTTATGGCTAAAATAACTCGTAAATAATCATTTCAGTCTCATCAACATTTCAAAATATAAACAAGAATTTTATTAATATGATTTTGTGCAAAATTTAAGAAGATGACCGTATTAGTACTCTGAAATGATGATGAGACTGACTTTTGACCTGATAGGTAGAAGCAGGAATAATTAATTCTCTGTAAAATAAATTAATTTTGGTCTTTCGGAAATTAAAGCAAATATCTGTTTTTTAAATGGTGCTTTAATCACTTAATTTCGGTTTTTTTACAACTCATTTAATCGTGTAGATTGATTTATTTTGCTGTTTAAAATTATATACTTTGTAAACTCGTGACTAATGTAGACGTGTATATTGTCAATTATGAACAGAGAGCGGTTGCTAAATCAGGATACTTTAATTTGCAGTTTCTGTATTAAACTCCCCTTTCGCTTAAATTTTAATATGCACGAAACATATTAGCAGTAGGCCCACCAGCGGTCGAGCAGTAAAGTAGCTGAACACTGGTAGTTCGGTCTGGGGCTCGTGTCCCGTCGAACGGGCTGGCGTTTTGGTGATTTTTCCCATGTGTAAGGTATATAACAGCCATTTCTATTATAAAATCCTTCATGATGGCATTCTTCTCCATAGGCGGCCCACCAGTGGCCGAGCGGTCACTGGTCGCTGAACACTGGTAGTTCGGTCCGAGGTTCGAATCCCACGAACGGGCTGGCTGCATGGGTGTTTTCGTGGTTTTCCCCATGTGTAACGTGTATACGAGCCAGTTTCCCTTAGAAAGTCCTCCACGAAGGCATCCCTCTCCTTAGGCAGATAGCCCTCGAGGCTCTACCGTAATTAAATAACCTAACCTAACCTAATCTTCTCTATAGGCAGATAGCCTTCGTGTGCTTTGCCGTAATCAAAAAACCAAATCAAACATACAACAATAATTCTATGTAGCAACGTACTGCGCTGTGGTAGCTGCGTGTTTTGTGCGATTTCGGATAGTCAGACCACTCATTATTATTATTATTATTTATGTTTTATGCCCTAAACCACTACACGGAAGGGTGGGATGCTTTATGGAGTACTTTCCAAGGGAAACTGGGTCGTATTAATGCATCACACATGGGAAAAAACTACGAAAATTCCCATGCAGCCAGCCCATTCGCGGAATTCGAACCAAACTACCAGTGTTTAGGGACTTTATCACTCGGCGGTGCACCAGACAACTCGTGTGTTTATTTTCTTGTTTTAACCAAGAAGAAAGCGAATATATGTTTTTTTCATTCACTAATGCATTTTCCGAGACACATATGGCATGAGTTTTTTTGCAGTAATAAATTTTGCATAGAATATTTATTAGCTACTGCCTAGTTGCTATGTAAATTTTAATTATGATATTTTAGACGTGACTCGTGTAATACATATGTTTTATCAAACTATTCTTAACTTGTGACTATTCTAAGCAAGTGGCTGATTACAAGTATCTGTTTACAGATAGTTAAAAAAATGGCAGAAATTTAAAATCATCATTTTAGAGTCTTAGAAATCCCGATGAGAAGGCATTTTTCTGATCAGCATAGCAATCAGTATATCTTTCTTTCAACCAAAATGGTCATTATTCAAACCCCACGAGGCCCACCTGCAGCTGAGCGGTAAAATACTTAAACATTGGTAGTTCCGATCTGGGTTCGAATAAAGGAAAACGGGCTGGCTGCATGGGCGTTTTTGTGCTTTTACCCATATGTATCTTGTATAACCAGTTTCCCTTGGAAAATTCTTCACGAATGCATTCCTCTCCTTAGGCATAGAGCAGCAGTGTGCTTTGCCGTAATAAACCAAACCAATCAAACCCCATGAGAGTTGTATCTATGCATCTGTGGTGTAGGAGCACTTAACACGTTGACTGTCAACTATGAGATAACTCGTAGATTGCGTTTTTCTCTAGGACACAAACAAGTTATCTCGTACTGTGTTTACTTGCCATTTTTGTGCAGCTACGATTAAACGCGGAATATATCAGTGCTAATATCGATAGATGGCTTCTGGGTAAAGAACAAAAAAATCAATGCTGGCTTGCATGGAACAGAAAATTTATTAAAAAACGAACAAAAATATAATTATAAAAATTAATAACATAATATGATTAAATTGATTTGGCTTCTCGTACCGGAATCCGAAAAGTGCCATGGCAGTCAATATACGTCTTTGAGTCGCTGAACACTGGTAGTTCGGTCCGAGGTTTGAATCCCACGAACGGGCTAGTTGCATGGGTGTTTTTGTGGTTTTCCCCATGTGTAACGTGTATACGAGCCAGTTCCCCTTAGAAAGTCCTCCACTAAGGCATCCCTCCCCTTAAGCAGATAGCCCTAGTGTGCTTTGTCATAATTAAATACACCACACCACCAATATACGTCTTTGCTTCGAAAATTAGAATTTATTTAAAAGGAATCCGGGTACTAGAACCTCGCATTTCGTTTTTCAGATATATTAGAACAAAATCGGAACGGAGCTGGAAAAAGTCTTACTTTCACTTCTACAGCCTAAGATTTATAACTAGTAATAAATACCCCTTGTGCTTCATCCATGACCATTGATCGACCTGTTTACTCAGCATAAATTGATAAGCAACAATAGCAAATATTATTGATTTATGTGAAACATATGAGAGTCGTATGGACTGTGATTTGTTTTTGCTGAGACATCGTGTCATATAGAAGCGCATTTTACTAGAATCGACGAAATCTATGGAACTTGCAATGCAGCAGCTTTTCTGTCACTATTCAAACAGCAAATAAATTTCAAATTTCAGGGGGAAAGGAGAAACTTAAACTGATGTATAATTTAAATTGAGAGAAAAGTATTTATTACAGGTGCTGTAATATTTATTATCGTTGAAAACAAAAAAGGGGTCACTGAGTTACACATTTTGAGATAAAAACTAATCGATAAAATTTTAATACGAAAGTAACTGCTGTTTATTTCAGCTGCTAAATTTCAGGTTTCTTTTCCGCGAGAGTTAAGAAAATAATTTATTACCACAATTATCATACAAGCAGAAAGGCGGTGATTACGGCAAATATATTCTATCGCAGTAGTTATCGCTGGTATGCTTTGTTTAATCTCTTAGGATTACAAATGCGTATATATGTGTTTATACATATATTATATATTATATATATATGTGTATGTGTGTTTACGAATTTTTCGTGTCTCATTGGCCCTGTTTTCTGAATTTTTCGGTAACCGCAGTATAAAACGAGCTTGTTGCAACCAGCTTTCATATTGACTCAGCTTTGAATAATAAAAGGATTATTTTCGCTCACTTTGAATGAATTCAGTAATAGTTCATGCCTGTGGCGTATCCTGCCCGAAGTTTTCGGTAACAAGACCGTCAACATCGTGATGGGTCAGCCATTTTTGGTAAATGTCTACTTGGTGAGTATCGGCCAATGAAATATTAAAAAATAAAATAAACTAATAAATAAACAAAAATGAAAAATATAGCATACAGTAGAGATAAAATGTTGATACTTTTCTGCAAAGCTCTAGTAAATAAAGAAAGGGTTATGAAATTTGATAGTACTCTTTGTCATTCACAATTGCTCATTTTATTCTTTTCAATGGACAGAAGATAAATTGAACGGCATACTTCTGATCCTTTTGTTTGCAGCGCTTTTTATACTTCAGTCTTTGGCCCAAAGAATATTTCTTTTCGGAGACAATGTGATCAGAAAAAGAAATTTACTTTCAACTTGGTACAATTCATTCCAGTTTTATAAGCTCTTGGCACCAAAAAGTTCTTTAAAACCTTGAATGAATTCGAAAGTTCTTAACATTTCTTTTTATGTATTAATGCGCATAGATCAAGTCAATTACTTGGTTTTCAGTGCGATATGAGAAATAAATATTTAACTTTGTTAGATTTCTTGCTCCCTTATTGCTACACTTAATAACGAAATGCATTTTAATTTGAAACACATTCTCATGTAATACGATTTATTATAATTTAATGATTATTGTGTGTGTATTTATTAATTTTGTGCGATAGCTTATACGACATTTAAAAAAAAAATAGAAAAACATTTTCTGGCGCTGAGAACATTTTTGGAAAATGCTGCAGACCAGGGTGAGCAAACACTTCTTTTTACCCGCGGGTCAGAACGGGCATCATACGGTTAGAGCTATGATGATTTTTTTCCCTTGTCCCTATTATTTGCAGGATACGATGGGGCAAAATCCGCATCCATAAAATGTTCGTAAATAAACATAATTATCGGATTTCTTAAGCACAACTCTTTATTTTTTAGTTGTTATTAATAACTTTAAACTATTATGATATACAACTCTTGAACTGAGTCTCGCTTTAAAAATATTTTATATATTTTATATGTAATATTATTTTACGCACAAATACTTAATAATAGTATGTGATGGTATTAAATTTTCTGCGAAATTAATTATTTAATTAAGCCTTTAAAGTTATCGTCAAAAGAAATCACGCCGAAAGGTAGTTTCAAAATGTCAAAGATACGTTTTCAAATTATAAAATGATTGTATATCGCTTTCTTTAAATATTATTTTAATGAAACGAATTTAATTGTTATTAAAATACTTTTTAATTTTTTCGGAGTTTCAAGGTCTTAAGTAAGGGATTTATTCGCAACTATATTTTAGTACTGAAGCAACTATTTTTTAAATTTAATTTGTAATTCAAACCACTCCATTCTTTTTAAATTTAAGTATATATATTCCACACCTCTTGAATTAGTTTTACTGTTGT